CTGTGACCCTAACAGGTGCTACTACCCCGATCAGGGTGGGCCTGGAAACACCAACAATTACGAAGTGGTTCCACGCTCCTAAAACCCTTCTGATCAGAGGCTTGTTTTACCCGTGACGCGGATGTACTTTAACGTCTTACCCAGGCCGATAAATCTTCCTTGACCGCCGTTTTCAATGAAACACACAGAAAAGATTTCTGCCTCCAAATACACATCAATATATAGAGAATTAGAGAGTGAAGTCAACAAAGAGCGGAGACAGTCTGGCATACATTAAAACTATATTTTATCAGATATATATATATATATATATATATATATATATATATATATATATATATATATATATATATATATATATATATATATATATATATTTATATATTTGTATATATATATATATATATATATATATATATATATATATATAGGTTACCATAAAGTTCATGTGCAAAAAAATGTCCGTTAAATTTGTAACTTTATTTGTATTTGCGATAGAAATAATTTGTAAAAATATTAGAAAGAATTAAAAGTATATTTTTTTTAAAGTTTTATTGAAATTAGCACTACAAAGGGTAATACGATTTTGGAGTTCACGGAAAACATTTGCCAACTGATTTACAGTAATGCCTGAAATCACATTAGTTATTTTAGTTATACTTAAAACTAGGTACATTAAACTTTATAACATTTTATATAGCGTATTTCTATCGCAAATACAAATAAAGTTATATATCTTTTTAAAGTGAACAAGGACTTTATGCACACCTTTATATATAAATATAAATATATATATATATATATATATATATATATATATATATATATATATAGTTTATGCAAATTTAGGTAATCCGTATGGGTAGACCTGAGGAGGATGATATCCAGAGAGCTCAATTTAAAATTCAGAGCAGATATGTTTGAATAAAAGACAGACCACGTTAAGATGGTATCTTAACGTGGTCTGTCTTTTATTCAAAATATATATATATATATATATATATATATATATATATATATATATATATATATATATATATATATATATATATATACAGTGTCTATGTGACTGTAACTTTGCTTTCTCTTAAGCAGTTCTCGATTATCATTTCTCTATCAAAATCTCTCTCTTACGTTTTCAATATAACAACTGTGGATATACAAGTTGTGCAAATGTTATTGGACCCGGAAAATTGAAATATCGTGCCCAAGTTAATTGCGCTCAAATAACCTCTTAAAGATGAACCCATGTTTTCTCCCTTCCTGGGAAACCGGAGCTTTGACAAATGATTTAGGACATCGTTTCTCAGCTGGTGCACCCGGACGCCCTGGAAGGTAGCCAGCTTTGACCTAAGTTAACAAAAGAGTCATTTATAATTTCTTTTTTTTATATTTAAATCTTTATTTTTAAAAAGCTAGTGACACTAAGTACATCAAGGCGTTGTCATTTGTTATTTTAAACTGAATGCTAAATTCGTTTATCTTTAATAAGGAATTGCTTACCCTTTTCTTTACTTTTTGCCTTATTCAAAGGATTTGTATCAATTATTATCAGCTACCCTAAAAATATCAATCATACATCCTTTTAAATGATATCTGTACTGCTTATCTCTTTTGGGGATGCCAAACAAAATGTTCCTATTTTTAAAGTTCATGATTAATTTTTCCTTATTAAAATTTAAAGTGTGCCTATAGTTTTAGTAATTCTGCAAGTACACCTTGAAGTAAAATATATTGAGAAACATGAGTCTAGGAGAATGAGGATCCTGGATTCAAAACCATTTGTACGTGGAGCTAGCAGACACCCCATACAATAAAATCTTTCCTTGTAATGCAGTGACCCACCGAGGCATCTACAGGATTTTCATTATATTTGTTAAAAGGACTGGAATTATTGTTCTTAATTTACTGTAATGATGATGTGCTTTTTGTTATGGAAATGGTATATAGGATGATATATTCTCTGTGAAATCACTTATTCGAAGTTTATTCTCCAAATATCAGACTGAAAGTTCCAGCAACATCAAATGTATTTCATCGCAACGATAGATTCGTATGAATAGAATATGTATTCTTTGGCTTAGATTGGTTTGGTTTATTTTGTTTTAAGGCATATCAACCTCAATGGGTCATTTAATGTCGACAACATTTTTAGGATAGATTCGTATGAATAGAATATGTATTCTTTGGTTTAGATTGGTTTGTTTTACGGCATATCAACATTTTTTCCTTTGTCAAAAATCCATTTCTGTCAATATTTTTTCCACAAAAATATATAGCTGGTAATATTATTTTTTTTTTCAAAAACGTGTAGATAGTAATATTTTTTTTTTCAAAAGCGTATAGCAGGCATCATTATTTTTTCAAAAACATATTATCAGAGGCCTTGCTGTTGGACATGGTTTATCGTCATGCCCAGGACGCGAATGTAGTCTGAGTGTTAAGTATTTGCCTATATCTGGGACCCTAACAGGTGCTACCACCCCGGGTCAGGGTGGACCTAGGAACACCATTTAATTAGAAGTGGTTCCACGATCCTCAAAACCTCCTCATGAGAGGCTTTGCTGTTGGACGTACTTTATCGTCATACCCAAGACGCGGATGTAATCTGAGTGTTAAGTATTTGCCCATATTTGCTACCACCCGGGGTGAGTGTGGACCAAGGAACAGCAGCAATTAAGAAGTGGTTACACGATCTTCAAAACCTCCTGATCAGAGGCCTTGCTGCTGGACGTAGTTTATCGTCATACCCAGGACGTGAATGTAGTTTATCGTCATACCCAGGACGCGGATGTAGTTTATCGTCTTACCCAGGACGCGGATGTAGTTTATCGTCATACCCAGGACGCGAATGTAGTTTATCGTCTTACCCAGGACGCGGATGTAGTTTATTGTCATACCTAGGACGCGGATGTTGTTTATCGTCATACCCAGGCCGCGGACGTAGTTTATCGTCATGCCCAGGACGCGAATGTTGTTTATCGTCATACCAAGGACGCATTTGATTTGGTTATAGGTAATTTATATTAAGGATTTTGGGCGGTTCCATTTACTAACACTAGTACATTCTGTCATCTTGTCAGCAAAAGAAACAGCCCAATATTACAAATTAGAAATACCAAAACACAATACAAAAATGAAGAAATAGTTTCTGGAAAACGGTTGTGGGAATTAATGCTGGTTAGCCTTACGGTTTGCAGTTGGTGTAAAAACTTTTTATGACAATCTGAGCAGAGACGTTTGCACTGACAGTATTGATAAAGTGCATAAAAGCATTGAATGAATGTCATATGTTCTGTTTGGGATGGCAAATAAATACTGTGTGCAAGGCAACTGTCATTGTTTATTTGCGATTGTGGTCAATAAATAAAACGATAAAACTGGTATTAATGCTGGTCAGATTATTTCATTTCATTCCCGTTGCGCATATGAGGAAAGTCGCTAACGTAGTTCTAACAATTTGGCCACGAATTGAAATCAATTTGTCATAATGAGAGCTATAAATAAATATTGGCAATATAAACTGGCGGATAAACTGAAAATCTCTTACGCATGCATAAAAGAAATAAAGATTAGAGACCTAAAATAGAAATAAATATCATCGTTTTCTATGTGCCGTGTCCATTCAGGACGTGAGCGATCATGGCTCTCCACAATTTCCTCTCCTTTGTAGCTCTGTATAAATTTTGTCGTTTTGTTATCTCTCCTAATCCCTGTTCTACGAACAATTTGCACAAGCTAGTTTCTTAGTTGATGCGCCGTTTTCTCCTGTCCATTTTACCTACAATATGTCTTGAGAGTATCAAATTTTCCAAGCACTCTTTCCTCATTATGTGCCCTGGAAATTTCAACAGTCTCTTTCTAATGTTATGTATAACAATTATCATTTTTGTTTCAAATTTCTCTAAGTCTTGCCCACGTGTTCAATGCACGGTATTCTCAGTATTCTTCTGTAGAACCATATTTCTGTTGTCTGATGTCTTTCCTTCATCCCTGATAACTTTGTCCATCTTTCACTGCCAATTCGGTGCTCTTTTCATTGTTTGCAATGTTATTTTCCTGTTTCTTAATACGTTGCTTAGCTTTTAGATGGCATTAAAACACATTCTAAAACACACTCTTAACAAAAACAAGTTTTTGTGAAACCTGTAGACGTCTCTGTGGAATATAAGTCCACATCTTCACAAAATTAGATGTTGTGTCCGAGAGGAATTGTCTTAAACAAATATATCAACAGAAACAGTAATACAAGCATATACAAACGAGTGTTACAGCAAGAATATTCGTTCGGACTCTCAAAACTGATTGCTGGAAACTTTCCTCTCCAAAAGGAAGTATCTTCCTTTATTTATTTCTGGGAGAGTCCATGCGTGCATGGGTAAATTACTATAATAGATAGATAGATAGATAGATAGATAGATAGATAGATAGATACGGACAGACTGAGATAGATAGTCCTGTGGTCTTGTTAGGGCCAGAAATAAAGACACAAGAGAGGAAATGAGTTAAAGAAATATATTACCAGAGACAGTAATGCAAACATATACAAAGGGGAGTGTTACAACAAGACTCTCAGAGCTGAATGCTGGAAATTTCCCTCTCCAAAAGGCAGTACCTGCTCCTATTTTTAGCTGGGAGAGTCCATACGTGTGTGGGTAAATTACCATAACACTAGGTGTTTGTTTTTTATGTTGGAACATTTTCTTAGTGTTGAAGACGCACTCAATTAAATGATTGATTTGTATGGGTTTTTTTTTACGGTTGATCAATCATTTTCAGGTTATTTAAAGACAGAATATGTTTTTAGGTTGCAAGAATTTGGCGCGCGAATAATAATGATATTTACGGATATAAATTCTACGAATTAACTCATAGATCATGGGTATTTCCCAATGGTATTTGCGCGTAAGTGAATATGACGAACCCGATTGGAACTGGAACTCGGCACTTCAATTTCAGCTACCGGGCTGTTATTCATTACACCATTCGCATATCCAAGTTGACAGCACCTGGTCTTCTTAAGCGATCACCCATCTAGGTACTGAATAGGATCGACGTCTCTTAACTGCGATGATCGTACGAAAACCAGTGTTTCACACTTGAAGCTGTAGAGAAGTGTTTTAAGAGAGGGTCACTGAGAATAACTTTGGGAAATATATGGGTTAAAAAGTAGAAAATGGATCTGGAAAGATTATTGCTAATTCGGAAAAAGGTTAATGCAATATTCACTTGCAAAAAACAAATAATTGTTCTTAGAATCCAAAATAAGTTTCGGATTTAAATAACCCACAAAGGGTTGATAAAACGTAAAAATAAATCCAAACAAACATCCACTAGAGATTTTGTACTTGGATTCAGTCTAATCAAGGAGAACAATAACTAAGCCGTATTAAATAAAAACTTGATGAGTAATTTCAGCACATGGATAACAGAACTACCGCTGTAGATTAAATAAAATGCCCAGTTAGAAATTTCCAGAATCCATAAGACAAGTTTGGATGGCACAGTCGCTGAAACCTTGAAATAATAGCTAAGATCCGGATATAGTTCGAATGTCAACGATGCAAATAATGATAATAACTCATTTCAGAATTCAGTTATATAGGGATTTTCTAAGCGCTTCTTAGATGTGGCACAAGGCAGGAAGTATGGAGCAACCAGTGAGGATCGAACTCACCACTCAGTCATAATATATTCTAGCGAGACAAGCTTGCTAACCATTACACCACACCGAGGTGCCCCAGAATTCAGTTATATAAGATAGCAAATTATTTTCGTTGCTTCTGAATAAAATTTCTCTATAGCGAAAAATGTCTTCCAGAAACCAACTACCAGCTTCAGTAAATATTTCAATGTACCTGTATCTATTGTAACTTTTATATTCCGTGCTAATAGGAATATATACTTGACAAACACGGTGGATAAAATAAAGGTCTATTGTAAAAAAAATTGCAATAGGAATAAAGGTAACAGTTATGCACAAGGTCGTCGCAAGTCAATCCAGTAGTGAGTGCTACTATTTGAATGTCGGTAGTTCTCACCAAAGTCTGAGTCGTACTCAACAAATCCCAGTTAGACAACATTTACCCGCCTCCCCATGAGGTAGGATGTGGCACAAGGCCGAATTTAAAGTGGGTCAATCCGAGATCGTAGGCTCGTTCAAAAATCCCTCGTAACCCCGCATAAACGGGTTCGGGTCTGTCTGTCGTAGGGCAGAGTTTCGTCAGGGTTCCTCTCTGCCCTGTTCGACCAGCACAGCTGGAAAAGATTCCAGCTAGACGGTATCTAGCAACTGCCCCACGCAGTCACATGTGGCACAAGGCCGAATTTAATGTGGGGCTCAGCCAAAAATTCCCCGTAGAAACCCGCATGAACGGAATCGGGTCTTTCACCTCCCCAGACGAGAGACTGCCCTTCGGCATAGCGTCGTTCGGCTTCCTCTCTGCCCGAAGGCAGAGAGTTCGAACAGCACAGCTGGAAAGGATTCCAAGTAGACTCTGTAATCCGTTGAATTACAGATACTAGGCAGTTAGTACCTATAGTGTAATCACTCATGGGGCTGACAGGCCATCTCATTACATCGGTAACATTTTAATTTAAAACAAACATCGTTGGCAGAGATTGATAGCTTACCGTTTTTCTTTCTTTTTTTTACACTCAAAATGATGTCATCAATAATGTAGCTTCAGCCTCTAGTTTCTCAAACCTCAAACCTGATGTAGAAATAGTGTTTGAGGTTGCATTTATATATCTATCTATAAGTAGTGATCTTGTTTTTTGTAAACGTATAAACAATACAAAACATTATTTTTACGTGAAATCTTAATTCCCACACTAAAAAACCCGTGGGAGCATTACATGACTAACGTCATTACCTGCATCTACATATGCACAAAATTTATTAAATGTTATATAAAACTGCTTTCAGGGTATATGTTATTTAAATAAAACTACCTTCAGGGTATATGTATAAGTTGTGTTATGAAATGTAAAGGATTTATCATGTTTAGGTTTAAATTCCATACCCAAACTGCCCCAGCTTATAGAAATATACAAAATAATAGCCTGTATTCTAAAATCCCAAAAAATCTGAAAACCGAAGTACTTCCGGTCCCAGTAAAATCGGATAAAGGATTCTCAACCTTCCATTTACAAGACAATTGTTTATAATAAAATTCAATTCAATCGATAGACTCATAACGATTGAAAACAATGTTTTTGTTTGAGTTTGGGTTTGACCAATTCATGAAAAAAAAAATAATTAAGACATGCGTATCTGTCAACCTGAAACAATAATCTTTGTCAATTTTATTTTTCAGTCTTTATGATGGTCAATACTTGATCTATCTCTTACCGTTACATCCCCGGGCAAAGCCGGGCTCTACTGCTAGTCTATTCTAAAAATGCTGTCGGCATTAAATAACCCATTGAGGTTGATATAAACCAAACCAATCTAAACCAAAGAATACATATTCTATTCATAGGAATCTATCCTAAAAATGTTGTTGGCATTAAATAACCTATTGAGGTTGATATGCCGTAAAACAAAATGAACCAAACCAATCTAAACCAAAGAATACATATTCTATTCATACGAATCTATCCTTAAATTGTTGTCGGCATTAAATAACCCATTGAGGTTGATATACCATAAAACAAAATAAACCAAACCAATCTAAACCAAAGAATACATATTCTATTCATAGGAATTTATCCTAAAAATGTTGTCGGCATTAAATAACCCATTGAGATTGATATGCCGTAAAACAAAATAAACCAAACCAATCTAAACCAAAGAATACATATTCTATTCATACGAATCTATCTTAAAAATGTTGTCGGCATTAAATAACCCATTGAGGTTGAGATGCCATTAAACAAAATAAACCAAACCAATCTAAACCAAAGAATACATATTATATTCATACGAATCTATCCTAAAAATGTTGTCGGCATTAAATAACCCATTGAGATGATATGCCCTTAAACAAAATAAACTAAACAATCATAACGAACTGCACCACACGACAGAATGCACATCCTTTGACGATTTTGAACAATAGCAACAAGTAAAATAGACATCACATGTAAAATAACATGATGAAGGCATTACATACCATTTCAAACAAAAGATTAGGAATGAAGCCTCTTGCAATACTGGAACATTCCAATAGACTTGAGAACCAATTCCTTCAAAAATTGTTTGAGGAAAAAGGCTTTATAAATTCAATCCGACAATGACACTGGCTGCTCGGTTAATGCATTTTTCTTTGTAAAGAAACACCTAGTATTACTATTACCATATGAATATTTGAGAAAGAAGCGCATAAAATGTATCCACAAGAACAACGTATGCATGTAGATAGATTATGAAATGTTTCCTTATAAGGAAACGGCAAATATTGTCATTATCATTCCCATATTTTGGACTGAAGAAATCAGTTCTGGTTAACCTTTAACGAGGACACTCAGTACTTCCGCTGCCGACCGTTCGTGTTGCTAGCCACGCGTCATGATGTTGAGATCGGCGGTCAATTGATAGGAGGGAGACTCGACGGGAAGTGATGACCTGTTCGTCTGACAGAGATGGACTTACTATTATGTCACGTTCTTCTGAAACATTTTTCTTCGGCAAAAATATACACATCATGACCGAATTAGTTTCTTACTTGAAATAGGATGATCATTGACAGAATGTAATGCAATGAAATTAATCGATTTACATTGATATATGGGCATAAACAAATCACAGTCAGATGAGAGACGCATTTACAGAGAATTTTTTAGTTTCTCCCTTGCCAAAGGAATACTTTTTTTTAAAACTTGTAAGCCTCTTAAAAAACTGTATTAAATTATATATAACAGTTAAATCGATTTTCATGTGCCTCGGATTGAGAAATCGGAGAGCCGAGTTCGAATTCCAGTCAAATCCATTACATTCATTTACGTGTTAATACCCTTGGGAAAGGTATCAATCCTTTTCTTCTCCCCCAGCTATGGCAAATAGCATGACAGTTTGGATTCTATAGCTTTGGATCGAAACTAGTCTACCGCAGAAAGAAATTGCAACCTATTGCAGTAAAAAAATCTGCCTCCTCAGTTATGTATCGAAAGATACATGATCACCTAAGCGTGTATCACGCATGACACATAATTGGATGAATGAAAAATCTCAAATATTATGTACGATTTTCGTTTTGAGGAACCAGTTCTCTTGAAAAATTTATTCTTCCTTTACTATATCATAAAAGTTGATGAAAAATGGGTTTAGATACGACAATGCCCTAAGCAATAGGCCGTGTATTGATAACGATAAATCTTCACAAGTGACTTCAAAAGATGTGCACCATGGAAGAAAGGTAACATATTGTGTGTAGTGTGATCTTATGTGTTTTACCTATTTATCTTAAAACACAACGAAAAACTAAATGCACTTATATACGTCTAGCAGTGTGTCCATAAAAGATTAGGGTGTTTGTCAAGACGAAAAATGTTCTTCTAAATGGCGAAGCAAAGCTGTATGCAGTAAGAATAATACAGAGCACAAAATTTAAAGTGTATCTACGGGAACAATGTATGCATGTATATAGATTATGAACTATTTCCTTATAAGGAAACGGCTAATAATGTCATTTTCATTCCCAGATTAATACAGAGCACACAATTTGAAGTCGGTTGTTTTTTTTTCTTCTCCAACCACCATATTCACCTGATAATTAGATTCAAAACTTTTCCGCATCAAAGCCTACGGATTTGAACTCAAAAGTTATCACGGGCAGCTTAATAAGTATATTTGTAAATAATGGTGAATATATAATGGAATGAAAAGCAAATTTACTTTATTTTTAATAATTAATATCCGTAAAGTATTCCGTGTTTGGAATTTATTCATAAAGTTTTAGTTCTAAGAAATTAAGGACAACATATTTTCGTATATTTAAATAATACAAAAATTCAACTGGTTAATGTAATTTATTTATACGTACAGTAACAAATGAATGTGTTATGGAAAATGTTGTTTTCCTCAATGACAACGCATTACTGCATACTGCAAGACAAACACAGGGAAAACAATGAAGCTTGTTTGGTCTATTCTAACC